CAGCGGTCAGCATCGGCACTGGGGGGCCTGGGTTCAACTCCAGAAATGGAAGCCATCTACGTGGAGTCAGTATGTGCGCCCTGTGTCCGGGTGGGTTTCCTCTCGCAGCCCAAAGGCACACAGGTTAATTGGCTTTTGGGAAAATTGGCCCAAGCTGTGAGTGAGTGAGCGAGAAGCATCTGTGTGTGCCCTGAAATGGACAGGTGTCCCGCCCAGGATGTGTCCTGCCTTACACCCACTATATGCGAGGACAGGCTCCCCTGTGGACCTGGACTGGATGAAGCATGGATTCCGAATGCAGGCCCACACCGGCTTTTGAAACAGGCAGTCTGTGATGAGCAACATAATGCAGAGATTTGTACATCTGCTACAAACAGCTTGAGCCCTGAACCTCATTCACTGCGGTATGAAACATGTTTGTGGGAAAGAAGCTAAAATATGAACAGAAACAAAGGAGCCAAAAGAGCATGGTTTCCATAATATTGTTAAGCCCTGATGTCCTACACTGAACGTACACATGCTGGGGCCGGTAGCACTGAACGCAGTAAGTATTGAATTTCTACAGAGTTAAATATTAACCAGGGTTCTGACTTGGGAGTGTCGAGCTGTTTTGCACAAACAACCCTTAAAGTGAAGAAACACTTGACTGGCACACGAAGGGGAAGCTGAACTGATGGGGTTTTTATGAGCAGGTAAAGTGGTTCTGATCGTCTTGGGTGGGTCGAGAAGGTCCGAGGGCGATTTCAACTCACGCTACAGCTCACTGCAGACGGGGGGGGGAGGAAAGAGAAAAGCGAAAGGGATCCGGACAAGCCCACGTTGTTCTCCTCTGCAACGCCTCCCTTGGCGCCTGGGGCCACGTGCCTCGGGGTGCGGCCGCCGAGCCCCCCCGCGAGGCCAACGCCAACACCGCCCTGGGCACCCAGCCCAGGGGGCGTCACGGCCCGCTCCCCATTCCTGCCCTCCAACACCCGTGAGAAATCCATCTAACGCGCTGCCGCGTGCTCCACCGCCATGTGGCCTCAACTGAAAAACGACCTCATCTTCCCTCGGCGTCAGGAGGGCCGCCTGAGGGCAGAAACCACAGAAGCCAAGCAGGAGGCCCTGTAGGAGCTGACGCAGCTGATACCGTGGCGAACCAGAGGCATGCCCATACATGGGCTCAGAGAGCGCTCAGGGGACACTGCTGGAAACGCAGTCCACAATCGATTTTTACAGTCAGGTCTCATGAAACGGCACACTGAACCCCTCTGTCTGAGAGCACCGGGCTTCGCAGCCACATCGTTCGGAAAGAGTGAGCCAGCAGCCATCTCACCCTGCAACTCACAACTGGCAGCCCAGTGAAGCTCAGCAGCGTGAGCCTGGTCAGTACCTGCATGGTGGGGGAGGTGAGTCCCCATGACCTGTAAAGCACTTTGAGTAGAGTGTCCAGAAAAGCGCTATATAAGTGTAAGCAATTATTATTAGAGTGATTCTACATCTCAATTCCGCACCAGCTCAGAGTCTCTGGACACGTTCTGTCCTGTAGGACTGGGGTTCCCAGTCCCAGAGGGCCACACTCCCACAGGCTGTTGGACCCGAACTCTCAGTTACACAAGTCTCAGAGGCCTTAATGGATGTAAGAATCAGATTAATCCAAATTGTTTGACTGCTCCTAAACATGTAGGAGGGCACCTTATAAACGTGCATGTCAATAGTCAAATGAAATCCCAAACTTTTGACCACAGAGTCCCCAGCGACTGCCACGCCATAGGGCAAAGTATTCCTCAAGGTCCAATACAATTGAGAGGTCTGGTAGTTTCACCTGGGTTTTCATGATAAAGAAACTTGAGGTCTACACAGCAAGTTGATAAGTGTCCCAACAGCACTAATCCTGCAGGAAGCAAAACCCATCCTCTTTCCTCCAGGCTCTTGCAGACCATGGAAACATTCAGAAACACTTATTCAGAGCAACACAACAGCCACAACAGTGGGGTGTCAAATCTCAAACCCCCTCCTCACAAAACGGGGTGCAAAAATATCTTGTTTATATCACTAACCGCGGTAACTACAGTCTACAATCAGCAAAAACAGTCAAACTTACAATTCCAAGAGGTTTAATAACAGGTAAGAGAAAGTGATATCCAAACAGAAGGGCTGAAATTAAAAATACCGACCAGCCCCAGGCTGTGGACACTAGTCTGAGGTGGGAGGACTCCCGTTGTACCCACAGGGTACTTCACTCAGGAGGCTCCAGTTAAATACCCCGCGATCTAAAATGCACAAGTAGAAATTGCTTCTTTTTTTTTACCAAAGAACCGCTAAGAACGTAAAAATACCCTTCTTTTCTATGACAGGAGGCAGCTGGAAGATGCTTTGGAACGAAGTTTCTGCCAAATGAATAAATGCAAACTTTTCTGTGCCGATGACGGAGGAATTTACAGCCGCATAAAGAACAAATTAGGGGCAGGAAGGGGTCCAATGCTGTCGGGCCGAAGCTCGTGAACAGGAGGGCACCCATGCCTACATCTACACTGTCGCCAACGTTTTTTCCCCTCTGCAGTCTTTTGCAAAACAAAATCAAATCCAAAACTTGCCGTTGCTCTGATTTCATATCGAATGACCCAACAGCCCTGCTGGACAGGTGCCCACCCTGCACGCCCCTCCGCTGGGCGTCTCGTCTTGGGGCCGAGGGCACAACGCGGCGCGGGGGGGCAGAGCCGCGCAGCTGGGAACGGTCAGCTGAAAGGCGGGCGGGGGAGGGGCTGTTTACAAAGCCCAGGACATGTGCTGGCAGGGAGTAAACAAGCCAGGGGTTGCAAAACAGCGCGTGTGTGCACCCTGGAGTGCAGTCACCCCATCTTGTATTACAAGCCAGCAAATCCAAGGACACTCTATTCCTTCCCAGAGTGACTGACAGGTGGTTTTTGCAGATGTTCCTTCTAACTTTATAATGGGGCTTCACCAGAGAGCTCCATTCTCTGCCAGAACGTGGAAGGGGGTGGGGGGGGGAGGGAAGCACAATGCCAAAGATGTAATATTAAGAAGGTTACTGCCTGAACGTGCTCAGAGAAAGTTAAAACTCAATTTTCAGGCCTTGGCTCACCCTGTTCAATGAGGCTGTCGCTCTGCAGGACGTTTTCTCCTTACCCAGCATCTTCGAGCAGCCACGTTGATGAGCTTGTAATCTATACTAATGTACTTCATTGGATCTGTTTTTCTATCTACAGGAGAGAGGTTACTCACAAAATGGTAAAGGTGAAAAGAGTGCTTAATTTTTCCACTATGTCATTTTAGAAAAAAAAAAACTGGCATGAAGCAGTCCAAGCTGTGAAAGCATCGGCAGCACAAGCCACAGCAACATGAGATTTTGTTACCAATTCATGACCTACAAGGACTTGAAAGTTTCACTGGCAGAAAAAGACTATGAACTCTGAACCTGGGCTTTTAAGAGGAGGAGGGAAAGGTTTTCCCTGCATGATGGACGTCAGAATCAAGGTGGACACTGGGGTCTAGGAGAGGTCATCTCCTAGAGAGCCAGATGTGAATAGAGGCCTACAAAATATCAGCACCGCCACTCCTTACATTGTTTTACATAAATTCAGCCCATAAAAGATTCAAAGCATTTAGAAACCATACCATATCCTTGACTGCTTCCGGACTTATTGATTGCAATGGGAGGCAGGGAAGTCTTTGTTCAAACAAAACAAAATGCAGCTTTGGCCATCACACAACAGATGAACTGCATCAGTCTTGCAGCAAAACGTTTAATAGCTAAAAAAAAAAAAAGTTTAAGCTAATTCCTAGTTAAGTTAAGAGAGCGGTCACAAGGCTGAGAAAATGCCACACGTGTGCATGATTCTTTCATTTATACATATATTTGACAAAACATGCACATCAACAACCAGTCACAGACGGGCCAGGCAGAACGCGCTGGTAGCGGTGGCGATGGGAGCTGCCAGGAACAGCGGCCAGCTCACAAGAGGCACAGCGGCCAGCTCACAAGAGGCACAGCGGCCAGCTCACAAGAGGCACAGCGGCCAGCTCACAAGAGGAAGGACTCTGGTCTCCGCTGGGGGGCGCCGATCTGCCAGGCCACGGCCTGCGTCAGGGCCACACCGCAAGGAGAGCCACCCACAGCGGCCGGCAGGGAACCGCCCAACCCTTCCCGGTCCAGAGCACATCGCCAGGATTCAGCGGGCAGAGGAACTGCAGGAATGCAAAGGCTAGAAAGCCAAGGAATTATCAGCCAGGCCGCCGAGCACCGAGTCACGGATAAGACCTGGCTGGACGGGCAGAATGAAAACCTCTCAACAACACTGTACAACTGCCCAGCCTGGAAGAGCGCAACAAGGCGTCTCAACAGGTTTAAAGTACAAGCAAAAGGCCTTTAGAATGACAAGGAAAATAGCTTCAGTGCCCTCAAAAAAAAAAAAAATCACACTGCAATTGTTTTCAATTACTGAAGGTTATTTTCGGAAGCGGCTGCAGAATTAGATGAACAAAGTAAGACGGTGAACTCAGTCAGGCGCGAGTGACAAGACACAGGCCAGCAGAGCTGTGGCAGTTCGGCATCATTAAGACGGAGCAGCAGTGCTGCATCAGGTGCAGACAGCAGATGGGCTGTGCGCCTGGTGCCACCGAGGCAGGAGATCTGGCCAGATGCAGCTCATGATTGAGTTTATTGATCCCTGTCAGTGCAAATAACCCCGCCGACTGTAAGAGGTACACTGCCCAGGCTCCATTAGGAGCTGGAGAGGCAAGAGGTGGTAGGTGGGGTAGAAAGCTTCCCAAAAAGCTTCCTGTAAAAAAAAAAGGGAGCGAACGGCAGTAGCTCCTCTTTCAGCCTTCGAAGTCATTCTGAGAATAAGAGAGTTTCAGCTTCACAGGCTACATGATGCAAAATCCATCTTGATTTACACACGGGCTCTACAAACCTGAGAGGTCAGAGCGAACAGCAGCTGTGATTCGTGCTGGGGCTTGCGAACCATCTGCACCCCTGCAATGAAACCGGAGGATGTAGCCAGGGGACTTTTTATTTTGTATTTTTTGCCAGGGCAGACTCGTCTCAGGCCTGGAAACAGAAAGCGGTGGCCTTATTTTTTTTTTCCTGAACACCTGTTTATCTTGCGGATAAACGCTGCAGCGGAGCACAGTGATTCACAAGCCCCGCCGCCGTGAGTCACTCTCCTGTATCTGGTACTTACACACACACACACTGCTGCCCTCCCCCGTCCAGGCAACCAGCTTCACAGGCCAGTAGCTCATAGCGCACTGGCTGGCACACGAACGGGCACAGGCTGCCCAGAAGCCCCAAGGTCTGGGAGGATCTCTAATCTAGGAAACCACTGCAGTAATCAGGCTTGTTGGAAAACACTCCTAGAAGTCAACGTGCTTTTCTCAGCAGCTAAAGCCGAATTCTGTCTTCTTAATAAAAGTTAGACAGCAGGGGATGTTATGGGAGGGGAAAAAAGAAGAGCCAAGAGGACAGTTTCTAGTATGGAGACGAACATATTCACCTGCTGCTGGTGACATTGTGGAAACGAGCATAAAACTGTCACATCAGCCGATCGAATGGAGGCGACACTGAATTCTGGCTACTCCCTACTACCAGTCTAAACACGTACGGTACAGCATGGTAGACTCCCAGCTCTACAGCACGGCACTGCCCTGCGCCCCCCTCCTGCTGACCGCCGAGACCCCAGGCCAGCGCCGAAACGAAACCCAGCTTGGCCGGCAGGCTCCGGCCACTCTGCCCCAACTGTGGACCGGTCACCATCCCACACAGCGGACGCTGAGAGTCACGGGACTGAAGAGCTACTAATAGGGAGAGAAACTGTTTCTTGCGGGACCTAGTTGCAATTGTAATGCTTTTTTTAGCCCCATTACTCTCTATTTAAAACTATCTCGAGGAGAATACATTTTTCATTTAGAACTGAGGATTCCAGCTCTTCTTGAATGCTGGAATCTGCCCAGACTGCAGAAGGAACCTCCACTTCTGTACACAAGGGCTGGG